ACAGCTCCTGGAGGTCTGCAGAGGCGACAGATGAGCCTTGTTAGTAACTAATTCATCTCAAATATCACCTATTTCAAATAAATTCACAGAATTCAGTCTCGACCCCGCCACCGGCAAACTCACAGCGCACGACAGTGTCTCGGATCTGCTGGAAGCTCTTCTCCTTCAGCGCCATGTAGATGTAGTAGAGGTTGCGCAGCTCCCGGGGATAATCCTTCCGATCCACGTCCTTCAACACGGGGATGGTGCGCCCGTTGGCCATGGGAGCTTCGGCCAACGCTTGGTGCATCTGGTACTTGCACCAAGGGTCCCGCAGGAAGCCCGGCGTGATGAGCATCACCCAGCGGTGGCTGTTCTGCACGGCGTCACACAGCTCCGTCACCACGGCGCTTCCCGGCGCCGCGTCACGCAGCTGGAGGAAGCAACGGAAGCTTTCGGGTTGACCCTCGAGGTAGGAGACCAGCTCCTCCACCAGCTCCAGGTCCACCTCGCTGTGGCAGATGCAGACGTCGTAGCTCTTGGCCCAGCGGGCGCTGCTCGAGGAGCTGATGTCCGACGCTGGGTGGATGGAGCTGGCCAGGCGCGTGCCGGAGCTCTCGGCAGAAGACGAGGAGGAGGAGGAGGAGGATGAAGGCGACGATGAAGATGATGATGATGATGATGAGGAGGAGGAGGGAGCGGTTGGTATTGAGGCTGCTCTCCACCACCGAGCTGCGCTTGGGTTTGTGCAGGAGCCGCCTAAACCAGCCTGAGAAGAGACCACGGTGAGGTTTGAGGGCTTCTCAAGGGGCACTGTCGGCTCGGCGGGACATCTCCAGATGGAAAAAGCTGGGTAGGATCTCATCCTGAACCCCCAAAACCCAGCCCAGCCCCCTAAAACTTCAGACACCCAGATGCTATCCACTCACCGGCCATAGCGGGCAGCGTGCCGCTCAGCCGCCGATCGCCGGCGTGAAACCTCTCCTGCCCAAAAAAAAAAAAGATTTAAAAGAAATTTTAAAAAAGCAGGAACCGCCCCACAGCAGGGCAGCCACAGGAGATTGGTGGGGTTAATTCCAGGAATGCACAGCTCCAAGACACCCACTTGCAGCCCCAAAAATCCACTGCCCTGCAATTCCCCAGGAATACGCACGTTCAGCAAGTGAGGCCGAGAGCTGACAGGCAGCAGAGACCCTCATTCCTGGCAGTGGGGAACAGATCCTGCAAGCAGAAAAGCCAAGGATCATCGGGGACTGACACACGAAACCTTTACCCTAGTCCAAAAGTGGCGCAGAACCGCTGCGAGCACCGGCACGCCCACGAAACCACGCTCCCTAAGCAAGCCACCGCT